AAAAAAAAAAAAAAAAGACAGAATAGCATGTATTTGGGCATTCAGGAGTGGAAGACCGTGTGGCTGCTTTGGGGAATTCAGAAGCAGACGAGTGAGTGTGATTGAAGCCGGAGGGGGAGGGGTTGGCAGTGTAGTTCGAGTAAATAGGTGAGAAGGATGAAGTCCTGAGAACATTGTGGGTAGAGAGTGTAGTGCCATGTTTTAATACTTACATGGTAGAATAGTTTAGGGTGAGAAGAAAATCTGTAGAGAGTAATATGAAGGTAATTCTAAAAGAAACAAGAAAGTTTCCCTCTGGGATAGGGATGGAAGGTGGAAGTAAATGTCTTTGGAGGTGAGAAGGTCAAGGATGACCATCTGATCATCCATTCATATGCTTATTGGTGTTACTAGAATCATGATAGAAGTTAGGGTAAGCAAGACTCAGAATCAGGTAGGAAGGGAAGCAAAACCAAAAAGAGTACAATCACTTCTCTGGTTCCCAGGTATGTTTTAAGTGAGACAGTGAGAAGCCTTTGAAAGGAAGGCTTTAAACACGGGGTAGGATGTTGTGTCAGGGCATCCTGGTAGAGGGACTGTTCTGTGAAGAGACTGATTATCAGTACCTTCAAGAAGCAAAAGCTGTGTAGAGTAAGTGAGGGGAAAGGGAGCCTGTAGAGGATGGTGGAGGCTGCAAAGGATGGAGGAGGCAGATGTGCAGGGTAGCTGTGGGAGAAGCCCTGGTCCTAGGATTTGCTCTGCCCTTCAGAAGGGGCAGCCAGGAGGCACCTGCCTCTTGCTGGCATGCTGCAGAAGCCACTCGCAGGCAGGAAAGGGAGAAGTGAACCCAAGCTGACTTCCGGCTTTAAAGTACTTAAACACATTTGGTTCACTAAACTTTTATTTGGGTGTACTCTTGACTTTCTGTTTTGAGGGAGGGATCCTGTAGATAGCATAATCCTTAGGAAAACTGTAAATAAATCTCCTAACTATTCTTAGATATAATTTGTTTAGTTTATTATTCTTTAAGAAATGTTATTTAAAATTGATTTTAGTTTACCAAAGCTTTGTGAAAGAGATTTCATAATTATACAAGTAGGGCAGCACTGGGGGTCAAGGAGTAGGGCACCAGCCCCAAATACCAGGGGTAGCGGGTCCAAGCCTGGCCCCAGCCAAAACTGCAAAAAAAAAAAAAAAAAAAAATTCTACAAGTATCACTTGCTTTTTTAAAAAAGAGCTTATAAAACTACAAAGTGAAAGAACTAACTCAGCATTTCCTTTACCCTATCCTTTCCCTCAAATCTGTGCCACACAACCTCTAGGTCTTTTTCTTTTTTTGAAGGAAGTGTATTTCTAGTGTCTTTATTTATTTATTTTTTTGCAGTTTTTGGCCAGGGCTGGGTTTAAACCCACCACCTCTGGCATATGGGGCCGCCACCCTACTCCTTTGAGCCACAGGCACTGCCCCTCTAGGTCTTTAATAAAGCATATGCAGATCTGGCCCTTTTTTAAAAAAAAAGAATTACATTTTTTCTGTAACTTATTGCCAGTATATCATGAATACATTTTTATTTCTTGTTATTAAAAAAATTCCATGGCTTGGCTCCTGTAGCTCAAGTGGCTAAGGCGCCAACCACATATACCAGAGCTGGTGGCTAGTTTGAATCCAGCATGGGCCTGCTAAACGACAATGCCAGCTATAATCAAAAATAGCTGGGCATTGTGGCAGGCACCTGTAGTCTCAGCTCCTTGGGAAGCTGAGGCAAGAGAATTGTTTAAGCCTGGGAGTTAGAGGTTGCTGTGAGTTGTGATGCCACGGCTCTCTACCTAGGGCAACAGCTTGAGGCTCTGTCTCAAAAAAAAAAAAGAAAATTCCAAATATATAAAAAGTGGAAAGAAATATACAATGAACACTCATACCTACCACCTGGATTCAAGACTTAGTATTTTATCATATTATGTGAAATCTGACAATTAAGTGCAAACCCATCCTAGAAAAAGTGCTGCATACCTCATTGTTGAATATCACTACAGTCACCTTGAGAAGCTATGCACCAACACCAGCACCTAGTCAACCCTTCAAAGAAATTTTGGAACTTTTTCTGGATTGGTCATAAGAGCTGTCATTATATGGCACACAGAATGAATGCCATTCAATAAGACACCACCACAGCCTGACGCAAACAGATTTGTTAGACACTGATATACCAAGGTTATGAAACCACACCAAGTTGTTTGTACAGTGCTGTAGCTGTCATTATGTAGCACACAGAAACCTGCAACCATAATAATGAATGCCATTCAATAAGACACCACCACAACCTGACACGAACATATTTGTGAGACTCCGATATACCAAGGTTATGAAACCACACCGAGTTGTTTGTACAGTGCTGTCAACATAAGTGCAAGTTGAACAAGTTCAAAAAATTAATTGTTAGGCCTTCCTATAATGATGGCTCTGATGGTCATTCCAGAAAAAGAGTTTCAAAATTGCTTTGAAGGGTAAACTGTATAATGGCATAGCTTGGTGCATAGCTTCCCAAGCAGGGAGTACCCTGAAGGTGACTATAGTAATACTCAGCAATGAGGTGTGTAGCACTTTTTCTAGGATGAGTTTATGAACTTAATTGTCAGACCTTAGATATATATATGTATTTTTTTTGCTAATCATTATAAAAATATATTATTGACATCACTCACACTCACCTTTGAGTATTCCATTATTTTCAGAAATAAAGATATCTCTTTTATAACCATAGATCTTTATCACACTAAACATTTAATAAATTTCCCAGTGTCCTCTAATACCCAGTCCATATTTCAGTATCCCCTCTTATCCCAAAGTTTTAGACCAACTCCACATTTGTGACTCATGTCGTCCCTTGACCCTGAAGTTACTGTGCTTTCCTTATAAAGGTGACTGTCTGCTCAATGGCACCCTCCACCTGTTCCTACTCACATTCTTTAGAGGCTGCCTGTTCTGACCTTGGCTGGGTGGCCAGTTCTCTTCACTCCGGAATTGGATATACTAATTAGACTTGGAAGTGATGTAACTCAGAACACAGAAGACAGGCTGACAGACAGACAGGCTTTCATTAATCTTCCTGTTTAAAATTGCTTTGAAATTGCTTTACTTTTTTGTCATTCCTGATGTCCCTGGGCTCCTGCTTGCTCCATGTGGTTTTATTCAGATCCGCCTCCTTTTTAATGACTGTGCTGTATAATAGGAGTGTGCTTTTCATTTATTTCATAAAGATTATTAATAATAGGTTGGGAAAAGCAATTTGGGCTGAGTACATAAGTGAAGCTGGAATATATATATATATATATTCATGTGTGTTCTTATTTATTGTGTGAAATCTCACCTGTGACTGACTTAGATTTCTTATGACAAATATTCTTGATTGAAGGTGAGACTGGAATAAACTGATGCCCCTAGCTATTGATAGCTAATGAGAATAAATAGTTTATAGTTGCCATATAAATTATTATAAGACAAACACCCACATATGTGAAATGTGTCTTCTTTTACGTTTGGCTTTTAGGTTCAACAGAATCCCTCAATCCTAGACCACAGACCACAATTTCTCCAGCAGATCTTCATGGAATGTGGTATCCTACAGTTCGAAGAACTCTTGTCTGTCTCTCCAAATTATACAGATGCATAGATGTACGTGTGTAAATTCTTGTATCTTTTCTCTGAATTGCTTACTGTTTCAGTTGGAGTATTTTTAAATCTATATTTTAAGATCTTGGTACAGCATTTTGTTTCAGATTTCTAGAATCATAATTTTTAGATATGGAGGTAACTTGAAGGTCAAGCTAATTTAGGGATTCCTAACTTGAGCTTTTTCTGTACGTCTTGGAATTCATTAATGGGCTTTAGGGAGTCTTTGAACACCTTGAAATTGTGGGTAAATTTTGTACATGTATTTGTATTTGTGCCTTTCTGAGGAGAAGAGCTTTAGCATTTAGTGATAGTCAGAGGAGGCCATAACTGAAAGTAAGTTTACAATTGATTAATTTGTCTACCTTAGTTTGTAGATGAAGATAGAGAGATACAGAAGGTCATACAGTGTCACATAGATATAATATACAGTTAGTATTAAATGCAGTGACTCTAAGTTAGTTTTGCATTCAATTTTTTTTTAAATGTTATTTATTTATTGCAGTTTTTGGTCGGGGCTGGGTTTGAACCCGCCACCTCCCGTATATGGGGCCCGCACCATATTCACTGAGCCACAGGTGCCGCCCCTTTGCATTCAATTTTAATCAGTATCCTTGACAAGTAGTACTAAGATTACATGTGTTTCTAACTGTGGACTCAGTTTAGTTATTGACTGAAGTTAACAGTATCTTTTTCACTTTTAGATACCAATTTTGTGTGTTTATTACTGGGGACAGAGTTATGTTAAGCATTCCAGTTTAATGTTTTATATTTTAGAAGGAGAAAGGGAATGAGAGAGGAATAGGGAAGGAGAGAGAAATAGGGAGAAAAGAGCAGCGAGATGGCATGGCATTCTAAAGGAAGAAAGAATACCCTTCTCCTGAGGTTCACTGGGTAGCTGGATTTAAGAGAGACAAAAAAAAAGTAATTGTTTCATATTTTAGAAGGAAAGAGGGCGTTAGAGAGGCGCTCCAGTTTAGTGATAAGATTATTCCCTGTAGCATCAGATTTGTTGACATTTATTTGCTGTCGTTGATTTTGTTGCTGAACCAAAATGTTTTATAAAATTTGGTGGTTTTAATTTACTTTTTAATTTATTAATTTGATTACTATAGTGGCAACTGCATATGTGGTATAAAGAGTAAAATGATTAAATACAGCAGTCATGTAATGAATTGTCCAGATGCTACTCTTTCTTATGGATATGGTTCAAAAGGAGTATACATATACTCTCACACCGTACATATATTCCATACCACAGAATCCTAGGACTGAACAAAGTTGTATAGTTTTTCATTGGTTTGGTAGAGTCCACACTACTCTGTGTTTAATTTAAACTGAGTAACTGCTGGAGTTTGATGCTGGTGATTTTGAAATGTGACAAGAGTGCCTTTTGCCTAGTCCAGGACTTTTAGGGATGAAGCCAGATCTCCTCTACAGACTTAACCTGTCTCGGCCTTTTTGTCTAGCTGATGAGATCTCTTCCAGAGAGAGGTTTGGCGTTTGGCATTTGGCATCTCTTCTTCTCCAGGTTCCCTATTAGGTGTACTGCATAATGATATTAGTCTGGGAAAAGGAAACTTCCTGCAGTGGAGCCTAGATCCCAGGGAAAATATGCAGGCAGTGTATTCCATGTAGAATCCATTGTCATCACAGTCCACAGTGAATGAAGCCTTTTGGGTGCTTAACAGAGATGTTAGCCAGACAGGCCTAAGGAGGTTATGGCTGGGTTTTTGTTTTATGACATAGACTTATTTTCACCTAGCTCATATTCTTTTTTCACTCAGTTCATATTCAGATCTTAACCCATTCAGTCTTACTGATCAAAGATGAGGAAAGATAATCTAGGGGAAACACAGTAAGGCTGAGCAGGGGAAAGAGAGCAGCTTAGTCTCAGCAGCTTGTCTTTAGCCTTCATAGGCAGGCTCAGTGACCCAGAAG